ATAAATTTTAAAAATTAAAAAAAATTAAAAATAAAGAGAGAGAGAGAGAACATATGATTTGTAGGACTTGAACACCAGTACAGAATTTTAGATTATTAGCCATATGATCCTTGAAATCAAGACAAAGCTATAAGTTTCAGGAACCCTCATTATATTAGCAAATTAGCACAAGAAATAGGTATAAATAATATCTTCAAGTCCTGACTTTATTTTTTTTAAGATTTTATTTATTTATTCATGAGAGACACAGAGAGAGGCAGAGACACAGGCAAAGGGAGAAGCAGGCTCCATGCAAGGAGCCGGATGTGGGACTCGATCCTGGGACTCCAGGATCATGCCCCGGGCCAAAGGCAGGCACTAAACCGCTGAGTCACCCAGGGATCCTCTTTAAGTCCTGACCTTGATTGAAGTCTCTTTTGGGTCAGAATTGTATCCATAATTATTTATATGACATATACATTTGATGATTTGAAACTGCTTTAATAATACTTTTTGAAATTAATATTGATACCAGAAAGTCCTCTGTTGGTTTTTTTTTTTTTTAAGTTTTATTTTTTTAGTTTTTTATTTTATTTAAGCAATCTCTACACCCAACATGGGACTCAAACTCACAGTCCTGAGATCAAGACTCACATGCTCTTCTGACTGAGCCAGCCAGGTGTCTCAGCCCTTTGGGTTTTTGGTTGGCTGGTTGTTTTTGTTATTGTTGTTATTGTTTCTAAGATTTTATTTATTCATTTGAGGGAGAGAGAGAAAGCACAAGCTGGGGGAGAGGCAAAGGGAGAGGGAGAAATAGACTCCCCGCTGAGCAGGGAGCCAGATTCAGGTTTCCATCCCAGGACCTTGAGATCATGACCTGAGCTGAAGGCAGATGTTTAATGGACTGAGCCCCCCAGGAGCCCAGCCCTTTGGTTTTTAATCTGCTTTTAAAAATTAAAGTCTTTGGTGAATTATTTACTTACAAACAAAGAACACCAGGAAATCACTCAAGGAACATTTATGGATTTCTTGATTCCCCAATCAGTTCCACAATATTAGTCATGGATCTGCTTTAAAAATTTCGTAGGGGATGCCTGGGTGGCTCAGCAGTTTGGCCCCTGCCTTTGGCACAGGGCGTGATCTTGGAGTCCCAGGATTGAGTCCCATGTCGGGCTTCCTGCATGGAGCCTGCTTCTCCCTCTTCCTGTGTCTCTCATGAATAAATAAATTAAATCTTTAAAAATAAATGAATGAATGAATGAATGAATAAAAATAAAAATTTCGTACCCAGAGACCCATTATCCTTCACAATCAACCAATCTCTGTCATCTCCTAGTGAATTAATACGTGAAACTTTCGTAACAGTTTTTAGACATGATTTTTTTTTTCTGAGTAGGCTCTACACCCAACATGGTGCTCAAATTCACAACTGCAAGAACAAGAGTCACAATGCTCCAGTGACTGAGCCAGCCAGGCACCCCTAGATATGATTTTCTGTTTGAAATGTCAAAGCAATGCCTCCCCTCAAAAAACTCAGTTGTAAAGCATCTTGGTCTAATCATCATACAAGGAGTACAATTACTGATTGTGTTAGATCCACTTTTGCTGTTTTACATTTCCACCATTTTAACAAGTTAGCATCCAGGAGAGTGAAGTTCTCAATCTAGGATATGATTCAATTCTGATGCCTTGTCAAAATGTAAAGGTCTCAGATAAGTGCTCAAAATACAGCTTTGATGTGGAAACACTTGGGTCACAATGGAGATACAAGAAATTCTCATTTTATGAAATAGATATGTTCTGGAAGCCCTCGCATATTATAAATATCACATAATTAAGCCATTTACCATATGGATTAGCTGATATACCATGGAAACATAACCATTAGGACATATTTATTAAGAGATTTATTACAAGGAATTTCTTTACACAATTGTGGGGGCTTGGGCAGGTATGAAATCTGTAGGGCAGGTATGCCTGGGTGACTCAGCGGTTTAGCGCCACCTTCAGGCCGGGGCCTGATCTTGGGGCCTCGGGATCGAGTCCCACATCGGGCTCCCTGCATGGAGCCTGCTGCTCCCTCTGCCTGTGTCTCTGCCTCTCTCTGTGTGTGTCTCTCATGAATAAATAAATAAATAAAATCTTAAAAAAAAAATCTGTAGGGCAGACCAATGTGCTGGAAATTCCTGTTAATGCTGCAGTCCTCAGGAAGAATTTCTCTTCCAGGGGAATTTCAGTTTTACCTCTAAGGCCTTTAAACTTACTGGATAAGGTCTGTTCAGAATATATAAGATAAAATCTTTTATTTAAAGTCAACCGAGGGGATCCCTGTGTGGCTCAGCAGTTTAGTGCCTGCCTTCGGCCGGTGGCGTGATCCTAGAGGCCCCATGATCCAGTCCCACATCGGGCTCCCTGCATGGAGCCTGCTTCACCCTCTGTCGGTGTCTCTGCCTCTCTCTCTCTCTCTCTCTCTCTCTCTCTCTCTCTCTCTGTGTCTCTCATGAGTAAATAAAATCTTAAAAAAAAAAAGTCAACCGATTGCAGCTGTTAATTATATCTACAAATACCTTCACAGCAATACCTAGGTTAAGTGTTTGAATCACTGCGCACTATAGCCTAGCCAAGATGACACATAAAACTACCTTTTGCACCAGAAGATTGACAAAACCTGAAGATATTTCTGTTTACCAATTAAACAGACACAACCCAGTGATAATAATGCAAGTTCATAATTCATTTAGCTTGCCAGCTTTGAAACTATGCAATTCTTGGGACGCCTGGGTGACTCAGCAGTTGGGCATCTGCCTTGGGCTCAGACCATGATCCTGGACTTCCAGGATGGAGTCCCACATCAGGCTTCCTCCGGGGAGCCTGCTTCTCCTTCTGCCTATGTCCCTGCCTCTCTCTCTGTGTCTCTCATGAATAAATTTTTTTTTTAATTTATTTATGATAGGCACACAGTGAGAGAGAGAGGCAGAGACACAGGCAGAGGGAGAAGCAGGCTCCATGCACCGGGAGCCCGACGTGGGATTCGATCCCGGATCTCCAGGATCGTGCCCCGGGCCAAAGGCAGGCGCTAAACCGCTGCGCCACCCAGGGATCCCTCTCATGAATAAATAAATAAAATCTTTAAAAAAAAAATGCAATCCTTGATTGTATTTTTTAAAATTTAGGGATGCTCAATATTTGACGTTATCACACTATACATAAAATAAAACATTATTATTATTTTCATATCATACTATTTCAAAATTTAATAATTAAAGCTCATGATACAAGTAATTCTTTTTTATCAAGTAGGTCTTAAAATGCTGAGAGCTTAGAAGCTGTGCTTTTATCTAATGTAATCATGTGAAAGGTCTTAACAGTTTTAGGGCCTGGTAAGGAGAGTATCTGAGGTGTCTCTTTCAATCTGTCTCTTCAATGTAATGTCCTCTTTGAATATCCTAGGTCTAGTTCCCATTCCCCTCCCTTGAGGCTCTCTATTCCTCCATGTGGGAGGAGACATTTCCTTTCTTCACTTTTTGGATCTTGCAAATTTAAGTATCTTAGGTTTGACCAGACTTTGGGGACTGCAGAGGGAGAGGTAGAGCCTAGTCCAGGAGCAACGGGGGCACATCAAATCTGGTTCAATCTTCCCCAAACAAGCATAGTGACTTGACTTCCTCACCATTCCCTAAGAAGTATATATATACTACTCCCAAGTTAGCATTAATTTTTTTATTTTTATTTTTTAAGATTATTTTATTTATTTATTTATGAGAGATACAGAGAAAGGGGCAAAGACACAGACAAAGGGAGAAGCAGGCTCCCTGTATTGAGCCAATGTGGGAATCGATCCCAGAACTCCGGGATCACACCGTGAGCCAAAGGCAAATGTTCAACCACTGAGCCACCCAGGAATCCCTAGCATTAATTTTTTTTTTTTTTTAAGATTTTTTATTTGAGGGCAGCCCCGGTGGCAGCAGCGGTTTAATGCTGCCTGCAGCCTGGGGTGTGATCCTGGAGACCCAGGATCGAGTCCCACGTCGGGCTCCCTGCATGGAGCCTGCTTCTCTCTCTGCCTGTGTCTCTGCCTCTCTTTCGCTCTCTCTGAATAAATAAGTAAATAAATCTTAAAAAAAAAAAAAAAGATTTTTTTATTTGAGAGAGTGAGTGAGAGAGAGAGCCTGAGCTGGGGGAGAGGCAGAAGCAGGCTCCCCACTGAGCTGGGAGACTGATGCAGGCCTCCTATCCTAGGATCCTGGGATTATCACCTGTGTGGAAGGCAGAGGCGCTTAATTTGCTGAGCCACCCAGGCATCCCAAATTAGCATTAATTTTACTCAGCGAACACACATTGTCTTTCAAAAGTGATTTTTCCCTCAGCATTATTTTGTAAAGTTGCGTTTGACTCCTTTCTGAATGTGGCTTGCAAGCATCTTGACATTAGCTGGCTCTATGTTCGTCAGCAAGAATAAAATACACCAACCCCAAATATCTTTCCTAAAAAAAATTGGAGTTGGGGGTGGACGTTCATGAATAAGGTCTGTTTCTGCTACAGCAGACTTCCAGTAAATGCTTGAACTAAATATGATGGACTTTCCTCTATGTGAGGAGGACTCGTGGATGGTCTTCGAATGGCAATTTTCCATCCTGTGGCAATACAAGATTTAATTCCTCCAATAAATAAACGTACGTATTTCAAAACAGACGTCATACTTCCTAAGGGAAATAATCTTGGATGAAAGAAATGCACAATCGCTACTCAAATTTAAATTATTGTTCATAATACGACATCATTATATTACCTATTTCAGTGTTCTGCGCATCAATTGATGCAGACAGAATACTGCTGTTTGGAACGGTACCAATTTTGTCATTTTTAAAAGAGAGTAAAGGGTGTCGGGTTCGCTAAGCCGGTAGAGCCCGAGACTCTGATCTCAGGTTTGCAAGTTCGAGCCCCAGTTTGGGTACAGAGATTACTTAAAAAAAAAAAAAAAGAAGAAGAAGAAGAAGAAGGAAATAAAGAGATGGTCAGCCTTGGGTGAGATTCTTCTAAACGCGACCCGCAAGCCCCGCCCTCTGTGCAGAGCAGCTCCGCGCACGCCGCCCAGGTCTAGGTGAGGGGCGGTGAACCACATTTCCCAGCGGGCCCTGCAGGTCTCCCGCGCCTGCGCACTGGCAGCCCAGGCAGGTAGGCAGAACTCCCGCGCTACCCAGCCGCCGGGGTTCGTCTCCCCGGGTCTCTGCCCCCCGCATGGAGAGGGTCTCGGTGGCCGCCGGCAGCGCGGGCGTCGGCAAGGCCGAGGGCGCTGGAGCCATGCCGCCCCCGCCTGCCGTCTCCCCGCCTGCTCTCACCCCGGCACCCGCAGCGGGTGAGGAGGGCCCGCCGCCCTTGCCCGAGGCGGGGGCTCCAGGCTGCTCGGGCTCCCGGCCCCCGGAGCTGGAGCCGGAGCGCAGCCTGGGCCGCCTGAGGGGCCGCTTCGAGGACGAGGACGACGAGTTGGAAGAAGATGAGGAGCTGGAGGAAGAGGAGGAGGAGGAGGAGGAAGAGATGAGCCACTTCTCGCTGAGGCTGGAGGGGGGTCGGCCGGACTCCGAGGACGAGGAGGAGGTATTGGTAGCGGGGCCTGAGGGGCCTGAGGAGCCTGAGGGGCCTGAGGGGCCTGAGGGGCCTGAGGGGCCTGAGGGGCCCAGGCAGCCCTCCCCTCTCGGCGCCGGGCCGCGTCGGCAGCTCGCCCCTGCAGCCCCGGGCGCTCGGCGTCCACCTCACCCCTCCCTCTCAACCTGCCCAGGCATGTGGCGCCGCCGCTCCGCGCCCGATTCCCTGCCGACCACTGAGGCTCCCCGAGTCCCGCTCGGTTTGTCTGTAAATAATCATTCAGTCATGCCAGGCGGGTGGGCGCCAGCGGGGTAGGGCGCCTGCCTTGCGAGAGCTTACAGTCGGACGGGAAAACCAGTCCATTTCTGACGGAGGCTGAGAGGGTGGTAAGACCCTTCCCCGTCTCCTCAGCCTCTTGTTGGGAAGGGGTTTTTTTGTTTGTTTGGTGGGTTGGTTGGTTTTTTTAATGTGGTAGCGCATATTTTACCAAGCTGGGCAACACCTAGCCGCTCAGAATCGATACATTAAGCGTAAACATCAGTATCTGGAAAGTTTGCCCATTTTGTAAGTAATTGGTGAAGGGAGACGCCCCTCATCAGGCAATACACGATATATCCGAAAGAATGAAATCTTTTTTTGAAACATTGGTTTGTATTGTGTTATTGTAACTTTCGGCAGGATTTTGAAAGCTTGGAGGTACTGTAACATGTTTCCGTGTTGCAAAGCAAGACACATTGTTCATAATGAAATATGGGGGATTATGGCTTTAAGAATTTGAGAAGGCAGGGACTTGCGTTTTTAAAACTATTTCCATTGCATTTGCAGCGCCTGATTAACCTCTCTGAGCTGACACCATACATCTTGTGTTCCATTTGCAAAGGTTACTTAATAGACGCAACTACCATTACAGAATGTCTTCATACGTGTAAGCATATAGTTCATATTTCGAATAAATACATTCATTCAGTTTTTGAAATGGGTTTAAAGCATCCTAATTTAAACATTTTCTTTTTCAACAGTTTGTAAAAGCTGCATTGTAAGACATTTTTACTATAGCAACAGATGTCCAAAATGCAACATAGTAGTACATCAGACACAACCTCTTTATAACATAAGGTAAGAGAAATATATAACCAGAAATTGTATTTTTAAATACACTTTTTCTGGAAGCTTCTAGTTGTGTAGTTGGGAATAAATTCTTGACCTATTTCAAAAAGGGAACTACATGTTCTCTAAAATACATACAGAACACTTACTGTGTACCAGGCACTGTGATAGCTGCTGGGAACAAAAAAATAAAAAAGCACAGGCCTCTCTTTTTGAGGATTTTAATTCCATCAGTCAAGTTAATGATGCTAGTTTAGGCTTGTCGTTTTGGGGATATTTAGAACTCTGCTTTTAAAACTAATGCCTGAAACGACTGGCCTCTTTAGAAAAACCTGTTTGTCATAGGTCATTGTGGTTTTTTTTTTTCTTCTTCTTCAAATTTTCAGTTCATACTCCGTTTCCCAAGGGAAGAAACATACTAAATAAAAGTGGATTTTGTTCAGCATATACTTTCATTTGTTCAGCGTATACTATTACACTTTTATTACCTTTATAGAAGAATGCTTTGCAGATGATGCACAAAAGTTCAAAATACAGTCTCTGCAAGGGAATAAGACCAGTATACGTGGAACAGTTTAGCAAACCATTCAAGAATCTATGATTACTTATGATTACATATAATTAATTACTTGAGGTTATCTCAGGTGAGAACCAGTGCTACCTAAAAGTAATTCACCTCTGAAAAAGGAGTTATCCACTCCCAAGACAAAACAGTTGCAAAGAGCATCGTTCATTCTCACTCTGTACCAAAATGGATTTTGCTGAATTCTGAGGTATTCTCCATCCTTTCCTTTTATTAGGTTGGATCGACAATTACAAGACATAGTGTACAAATTAGTGATCAATCTAGAGGAAAGTAAGTTTGTTTTATTACATAGTTTTGAATCCCAGCATCTCTGCTAACTCTCCTAGTTACATTTTAAGTGTAATTTAGTCTGTGTTTTATCATTTTTTAGGAGAAAAAAAGCAAATGCATGATTTCTATAAAGAAAGAGGTCTAGAAGTACCTAAACCTGGTAAGTTTGGGTGTATATCATAATGTATTTATAGATAAAAAAATACTGACTCAATAAAATTTACTCCCTTTGAGGTTCTTTTTGGTGATAGCTGGTTATTTTATGATCAAAGAGATTATGAAGGTAATGATGTAGTATAATCCAACTTAATTATTTATAAAAATTAAAGAGTATAGGCTCTGGAGCTAGATTTTCTGAGTTTGATCCTACCTCTGCCACTTTACTTTCTGTGTGACTTTGGCAAATTACTTCGATGTCTCAATTTCCAGGGCAGCCCCGGTGGCGCAGCGGTTTAGTGCCGCCTGCAGCCCGGGGTGTGATCCTGGAGACCCGGGATCAAGTCCCACGTCGGGCTCCCTGCATGGAGCCTGCTTCTCTCTCTGCCTGTCTCTGCCTCTCTTTCACTCTCAATGAATGAATGAATGAATGAATGAATGAATGATAATGAATAAATAAATAAATAAATAAATAAATAAATAAATAAATAAATCTTTTAAAAAAATGTCTCAATTTCCTCATCTATAAAGTAGGGATAGTGATAGCAATTCATGAAATTATTATAAGGATGCGTTCGGTAACGCAAAGCACTTAAAACGGTGCCTGGAACATAGTAACTGTTCAAATAGTTTTTGTGATGATGGTAATGTCACAGTATAGAAGTTAGATAAATGTGTTTAAATCTTCGTTCTTCCACTTACTATATATTGCCTAATCTCACTTAAACAGTAATCTCAGTTTCTTTATAGTTTTAACTGTAAAAAAAAAAAAAAAGTAGCAGTATGCTTTTGTTATGGGATTATAATAAGGCTTAAATGAGAATGTGCATATACAATGCTAAGTATGAGCCCTGAACCCTGGCACATAGTAGTGTGTATATCTGTTGTGTTATGATGAGCTCTCTCTGTAGCCCTGGTAAACCAGCTACATATGTCTGTCTGCCTTCCATTGTGGGGTGATCCCCAGGAGCAATTTCACTGGCTTTGACAGATTAGTTAATGTTATTAAAGAAAAGTAGACTGAGTGCTTTATGATCTCTTAAATCGTCAATGTAGTTATAATATCTGTAATTATTTTTCAGAGATCTCAATTTGTGAAATTTGTATTCTAATTCAACTTTTTTCTTTGGCTATTAAATAGCTGTTCCACAGCCAGTTCCCTCAAGCAAAGGAAGATCTAAGAAAGTCTTAGAATCAGTGTTTCGTATTCCACCTGAACTTGATATGTCTTTATTACTAGAGTTCATTGGGTGAGTATCCTAAACCTATACCTCTTAACCTTAAAGAATTTCGTAAGTTCCAACGTTATTAAATCATCCTGAACTCAGGTAAAATCAAGTTTTTCTGATATCCTTTTAAAAATTAATCATGAAAAATCTAAGACTTAGAAAAAGATCTAAAGAATAGCACTACAACCATCATCTGGCTTAAGAAATAACCCACGCTAGCATAGTGGAAGTCCTTTGGCTACCTCTTCCGGTTCACTCCCCCTTTTCTTAGAGGTTGATAACCACTGTTCTAAAAATAATGATTGCCATTCCCATGGTTTTTAAAATATGTTTATCTCATGTATCGATGCTTAAGCAATATGTAGAATTACTTTTGTCCATTTAAAAACTTTAAATGGGGGAACCCTGGGTGGCGCAGCGGTTTGGCGCCTGCCTTTGGCCCAGGGCACGATCCTGGAGACCCGGGATCGAATCCCACGTCGGGCTCCCGGTGTATGGAGCCTGCTTCTCCCTCTGCCTATGTCTCTGCCTCTCTCTCTCTCACTGTGTGCCTATCATAAATAAATAAAACAAAAAAAAATTTAAAAAAAAAAATTTAAAAAAAAAAAAACTTTAAATGGTATCACTTTTCCAACTTGCTTTTTTTTTTTTTTTTCCAACTTTTTCACTCAACACTGTGTGATTCATCCACGTGAAAATGTGTAGCTCTAGTTCATTCATGCTAACCATTGCCTGGTATTCCCTTAAAATAAGTATACCATAATTTATCTTTTTCTTGTACTGTTGAATAGCTTATATCTAGTTGTTTTTGTTATTATAAACAATGTTGCTTTAAATACTTGTGTACATATCTCCTTGTATATATGTGAGATAGTTCTCTAAGAGTATAGATTTGCTAAGTGTTAGCATATGTTCGTTTTTAACTTTGCTTGGTTTTGCCAAATTGTGTTCAAAAGTATTGGGTATCTTTCAGATTCATATACATTGCTTCTTTCAAACATTGTATGTAGCATATGGTATACTCCATTATAGTGCAACATTGTTAAACACTATCATAACAGAGTTGGCATGTATCAAACTACAGTTTTCAAAATACTTAGTTTTCAGAATAAACTAAAACGCCTTTTTTAGAAAATCTAGATTTTCCATTTTGTCACTGATGACTATTCTACTTTTCAGCTATTTCCTCCTTATAATTTTAGGTTCCCTATATCACTTATTTAGTATCTAACTTGTGCTATGTTGTATTTATCCCTTTATGTAGTCACCCTATGTTCTCAGCTGATATTAAGGACCCTTAAGAGGCCAGAAACGTTTCTCATGCCTACACAAATCCCATGTAGTAGTGGTTGATAATGAAATAAAAATCCCTTTGGAGGAATGAACAGAAACTATGTAATCCCAAACTTTAAACCAGCAATTTCTGTTAAGGAATGTGTTCCAATCTAGATGTCCAAAAAGAGATCTGGTTAAATAATGGTGTATAGCACGTATGTGCTAATATAATAGTGTATGTGCTGATATGGAACAATCTCCAAAATAAGAGAATACATAGTGTGTGCCTATTTATTTTAAAGAGAGTGACGGAAAATATGTGCATATACATGTTATACCTGCACAGACTATTCTTGGAAGGACATATAAGAAAATGCTAATACATATTTTGAAAAGTGACAGGGATGCAAAGATAGCAAATATGTATTGAGTATGCCACCATTACCTCTTCCTTTGCCCACTGCAGAAATCAATAATTAATCATGGCAGGCTTTCTAATGAGCAAGACTTGACCACAGTACTCAAAGCAGTCATTACCACTTACCACACTTATTACATTATTAGTACATTCCCTGCTGTAGAAAAAAGAGCCCTCATGTGCTTTCCTGGTTGCGAGTTTCAGGGAGGCTGAGGCTCAGGTGGACTTGATTCAGGTCCACCAGAAACCCACTGCCATGCCGAGGAAAGCATTGCTGCTGGATTGCATAATAGACATTAATACTGCTTTACAAGAGGTGCAGAAGACCACTCTCATCTGTGCTGTCCTAGCACGTGGAATTTGCGAAACTGCCAAAGCCTAGACAAGCACCAGGCCTATCTGTGTGCCTGCATCCAACTGTGATGAGCCTATGTGTGTCAAGTTGGTGGAGGCCCTTTATGCTGAACATCAGATCAACCTAATTAAGGTTGATGACAGCATGAAACTAGGGAAATGGGTGGGCCTCTATAAAACTGACAGGGAAAATCCCGTAAGTGGTTGGTTGCAATGTGTGGTTGTTAAGGACTATGGCAAAAGAACCTCAGGCTGATGAGGATGAAATCAAGGAATATTTCCAGTGCAAGAAATGAACAAATAAAAAACTTGGTTCTTATTCCAAAAAAAAAAAAAAAGAAAGAAAAAAAGAGCCCTCACTTGGAATAAAGAATCGAGGTTTAAATCCTAGCTTCTCCATTATCTAGCTTTGTAAACATTAACAAATTGCTTTTTGTTTATTCACAAGATGTTTACTAAAGTCCTGCTTAACATTCTGCGAGTTGTTGAGAATACAGTTTGAATAAGTCAGCCATGGCCTTTGCCCTCAGGGAACTTTTAGTTTTTAACTTCTCAGAGGTTCAGCTTCCCTATCTGTAAAAAGAAAGAATTGAACCTTTTATGTTGATGATTATGATGAGTAGTCTATTAATAATATAGCCCTTTATCTATTTTCAACTGGTTGGGGGGAAGAAAGCTTCCAGTGTGGCAAGGAGTTCTTTTGAAAGAAAGCTTCCAGAGGCAAAGAATCCGTTTGAAGTCACCAGTCCCCAGAGTTAACTACATGGAAGAGCTCTGATGTTACCACAAAAGTCAGGCTACTGAGGGGTAACCCATAGGCAGCCCTTTCATGACAGGACAAGTGGCAGGTGAGTTTTAACCTGATGCAAGTACAAAAGCAAATTTGGTCCAGCCATTGACCGCACTTAAGCTGGAGGAGCAAAAAAACCGAGGTAGGTTCAGCCTGTGAACAGTGATTTTTCAAACACTAAAATATGAAGTTAGATTTCCCCCCTAATTTGGGTATGCCTTTAGATAATCATGTAGTTCTTTTTTTTCTTCTTCAGTTTCTGTGTATAAAGTAGAAGATTATAAAAATAAATAACTTCAGACAGGCAGTACAGTATATATAGAAAGCATAGACTTTGAAGAGTCTCAGTAACTCAAGGTATATTATCCTTGGGATGTAGCTGAACTTCTCTCATCAGTTTCTGTGTTTCTAAATTGGGAATTTATAATAGCAACGAACAGGATTGTTCTAAGTATCAATTTATGGTATTCTTACCATGTCTAAACTATTATCAATATATGAACATTGAAATAATGCAGGCTCATTCAAAAATAAAAGTTAAAGTAGTCTGTGGTGCTGTACTATGTACATGTGCCTAGTGAGGAAAATGGACTCACATGAGATAAGTGTGATACAGCAAAAATTTTGTGCAATCTTAAACTGAGTAGTAGTTAGTGAACTAAGGAGGTGATATCCAACTGTATGCCTATTAATCCAACTACAGTTTTATGTTCAGCTCTGGACACTACATTTTAAGAGAGATGTTGGTAAGCTGAGGTATAACAAGAATAGTAAAAGGTTTGAAAACCATGTCATATGTGGTATGAGAAGGAACAAAACTAGTCTGAAGAAGAGAACACAATCATAAGCCCCTTAAGTTCATTTCAGATCTTTAGAGGGTTATCATATAAAAGAAAGATTGGGTCTTGTAAACAAGAGTACCAAAAGGCAAAACTAGGACTAGTGAGTGTGACTTACAGGGAGAAACATACTTACTTCAGTGTTAGCAAGCAATTTCTAACAAAGTGGCCCACAAATGGAATGAACTGTCTTGGCACATAAGCAGCTATCTCTTCAGGTGCCTAAGCAGAAGCCCAATGACCATGAATCATGGATTCTATAGAGATTATTCTTGTAACAAATAGGATATTTTATTTTATTTTTTTTAGGATATTTTATTTTATACTTCTGAGCTTATATTATGTATCTTAGGTTTCTCTTATATCCATATATATAACATTTATGTTAATGTAATATTTTTATAATATAGCTTGTATATTACATTTTAATATATTTCTCTATTTGTATTATATGAATATTCTGTAGATGCAATTGTGATCTGGCCTACTCTACACAACGTGATAGGGAAGAAAGAATGTGGGTTTTGATGCTAGGTACACCTGAATTTGAAGCTTTATCACTTTAATAACTCTGTGACCTTAAGCAAGTTGTTAAACCTCTCTGGGCTTAATTTTCCTCATCTATAGAAAGGAAATACTAATACCTGATACGCAGGGCTGTTATGAGGACTAAATGAAAAACATTCATCCCATATGAAGACTTAATATAATGCCTGGTACATAGTAGATACTCAACAAAAATTAGTGCCCCTTGTCTCCTCATGACATAAAAAAAATTGATTTAATCAAGAAATCTCTTTGCACTTTGAGGTGAAGAGAAAACTGAGTAAATAATGCCCAGTATGCTGTAAGTAAAATAAGATATCTAGCAGCCTTCTTATAAGATATCTATCTTATAAGGGTTACTACAAAGAAAAAAAAACATTAATTATGATAGAAAGAAGTTTCACTTTAAATTGGAAAATGTTAGAATGCAACATGTGGGGGAAATCTAAATATTAAAGATAGACTTTTAACTCCTGGAAGTATGAAAGTAGTGTAAAATAATGGATAACACTGCCTTTGCCTTACCAGTAGGTGGCAGAAATGACAACTACATTTAATTTCATAAAGGGTTAGGTGATGGTGTTCTAAAATTAAATTGATGTTCCTCAAATATTTATATTCATGTTATTTTTCTGTGTTCTATGATTTAATGTATAGCTTAAAATGTTGATTAATTTTGCTTTCATTTTTCAGTGCTAATGAAGGCACGGGACATTTTAAGGTATTTTATTTTCATTTACTTCACAGGAGGACCCTGTAGTACGCAATTTAAGAGTCAGACTAGCAATCATGTGGAGATTGTTTTCAATTATGGTAGAGTTTTGTAAATAAAAATTGTAGAAGTGTGAAGTACATTGAGTAAAGCTTTCATAATAAGTTTATGAGAAAAGAGTTATTAAGTAGGGATTTGTTATTCAGTACAGTGGTTTAAGGAAACAAGTGAGAAAATTTTAAAACTCTAAAACCAAATACTATGTTAATTTGGTGACTTTAAAAATATTTCAAAGCATTTTTTGCATAGTTGGCATTCAGAGTTAAATATGAGCTTAAATTTGTATTTGCATTTTGGGCTCAAGGTAACCTGCCCTAACTTGTTACTTCAATTATTTACTGAAATTTTGGAGGTAAGAATGAACTCCTTTGTAATATACTTAAGTTCAGAGTTGTCTTAAAGGCTCTATTATCACAGGTCCCATTGTACACAGTGTTGCTCCTATAGTATGAGTCATGCAGGGAAAGGTGACTTTTCCTTTTTTTTTTTTTTCTTTGAAAAGGTAACTTTTTAAAAAAGTAATTTTTAAAAAAGGGCTAAAATCAGGCCTTATAGTCCTCAGGATAGCAAATATATAGGAAATCGCTGATAAGCTTAGTTTGTTTTTTTGTTGCTGTTGTTTTTTGTTTGTTTGTTTATTCTTGAGAGAGAGGCAGAGACATAGGCAGAGGGAGAAACAGCCTCCCTGCAAGGAGTCTGATGTGGGACTTGATCCAAGACCCCAGGTTCACGCCCTGAGCTGAAGGCAGACCCTCAATTGCTGAGCCACCTAGGTGTCCCTGATCTGTTTAGATTTTTAGTGACTTTCGAAGTCTGTACTAATACTTTGGGTGGATTATACCTGATTGGGTATACTGTTTTATGAATATATTAGCTTAGAGACATGAATTAAAGCATAGGAATAGAAGAGTACTTCTGTGGGTGAAGTATATTATAGATGTTTCCCAGAGATCAGTGTGATGGAGGAAATGGAGTGTTAAGTTTGGTAACTTTGAACTTATTTTAAGTTGTAAAATATCAGATTTACGGTGATTAACTTTAGGAAGTTCTTTTGTAGTAGTATCGTCGGTGGGAAAGTGACAGAAGTTTCTGTATGGGACAAGTACAGTGTCATGCTCCTATAGTTTGCCAAAGATGTTTATCCAGTGACCTATTGTAGCCACACAAACCAACAGTATAAAAACTTCATGACGAAAGAACTAGCAATTAAGTTGAAGTATTAGCCTATTGCTTCCACAAAAGCATGATATGGACCTGGAACATTTATATAGTTTCAGTCATCACACATTTGAAAAATATGATGACAGTACCATCATACTTGAAGTATTCTTGCCAAAACAAACAAATGTGAAGCTGGTCACATTCCTAGATTTAATCACTAATTTACAAGAAATTCAGGAGACAAAGGAACATGTTAAATGACACTATAGGAATATAATAAGCCAGATCTAGGCAGTGGAAAACTATAGCACAAACAATTGTGTTTCCTGAGAATAAAAGGGAGAAATGAAGAGGAAACATATAAATAACACATTAATCAAAAAGTCTCAAGGGACATAGCTACAATGTATGGAGTTTATTTGGATTTGATTTGGAAAATAAACTAAAAAAATTTATGAGAAAATAACCCCAAATTGGAAACAACGCAAATATACATCAACTGGTAAATGGATAAACACAATATGATATATCCACACAATGGAGTGCTGTTTGACAATAAAAAGGAGTACTGATAAGTGCTACAACACATATAAAATATTTTGAAATATTAAATGAAAACAGGTACAAAAGTTCACATAATGCAGGATTCCATTTATGTGAAATGTCTAGAGCAGAGAAATTCATAGAAGCATGAAATATTATAGATTGGTGGTTGCCAGAGTCTTGGGGGAGAAGGGGAAATTGGAAGTGACTGCTAATTGGCATGGGATTCCTCTCTGGGTGATGAAATTGTTCTGAAATTCGATAGTGGTGATGAGTTGCACAACTCTGTAAAGTAATAACCACTGAATTGTATACTTTAAAATGGTGAATTTAATGTTATATGAATTGTATCTCAATAAAGCTGTTAAATTTTTAAAAAGTAACTAAGCCGGGAAGCCTGGGTGGCTCAGCTGTTGGGCATCTGCCTTTGGCCCAGGGCATGATCCTGGAGTCCCAGGATCAAGTGCCACATCGGGCTCCCTACAGGGAGCCTGCTTCTCCCTCTGCCTATGTCTCTGCCTCTCTCTCTGTGTCTCTCATGAATAAATAAATAAAACCTAAAAAAAAAAAAAAAAGTCAAGATCCAATGGGAACTTTGGGTTTTTTTTGGCTTATTTTTTACGATTTTATTTATTTTTTTTATCTCAACACATAGAGAGCACAAGCAGGGGAGAGAGGGAAAAGCAGGCTCCCTGCTGAGTAGGCACGGGATGCTTAACCAACTGAGCCACCCAGGCAACCCCCAATGGGAACTTTGAATAGAGTGTATATTTAGTGTATATATTGTGAAAGTACAAAAATATCTCTGGTACAAATCATACATGCAAAAATTAGAATTTTAGTTTGAGTTCATATTTATTTTTTTTTCATGAAATCTTTATTTTTATTCTCTTTAATGACAGCTCTAAAAACAAAATCATTTCCTGCTGGGTAAGAAAATTAAGACAATTGGTGAAATTTGAACACTTACTGGATATTTTCTGATACCAAGGAATTTTAAAGAATGATAATGGTATTGCGCTTTTTTAAAAAAGTGCTTATCTACAAAAAAAAAAAGTGCTTATCTTTTAGGGATACATACTGAAGTACTTACAAATGAAATGATATGTCTGGGTTTGCTTCAAAACAAATCTGGAGAGTCGGGGCCAGGAAGGAGTTGCAGTGGGAAGTGGGTATGGTATATTTAAAACCAGATTGGCCTTGAGTTGATAAAGCTAAGTGATAGCTATATAGGAATTTGATTATACTAATCTCTCATAGTTTTGAGACATTAAGTTTTCAGTTTTAATTGATGATACAGATGTTAATTTGAAGGCTTTATGCCTGTGAAAGTTGATGAATCTGTTTTAGAAACAAATGATCCTATTAATTCTGTTTTTGTTTTTGTTTTTTTTTTTAAGATTTTATTTATTCATGAGAGACACAGAGAGAGAGAGGCAGAGACATAGGCTGAGAAAGAAGCAGGCTCCATGCAGGAAGCCTGATAGGAAACTCAATCCTGGGACTCCGGGATCACATCCTGAGTCAAAGGCAAACTTTCAACCGCTGAGCCACCCAGGCGTCCCTAATTCTGCATTTTGTGATGACCAGAACAGAGTTCTGGTTACAGCTTTTGATATTATTGTTCAGTATTCTTTGCTACTTATAAAGCTGTTTTTATATCTTATCTTTGAGCTTAAATAAATATGTGTATCTAGGTATGCCTGCCTGGTTGTTAAACTTTTTACCATGTAGACCTGTAGCCTGAAAGTCATAAACCCTATTTGCTACATTCAATTTCAAAATATTTCACTAGGCAGTAATATAGTCCAGATAATTTTTCCCGAGTCGTCTTTTTTAAGCTTTTAATTGCAATTTTTTTTTTTAGGAGGAAGAGTGATCAGGGAGGGGTGGGCATAGGGAGAGAGAGACTCCTAAGCAGGCCCCACCCTGCGATCATGATCTGAGCCAAAATCAAGAGTTAGATGCTTAACCTGCTGAGCCACTCAGGAGCCTCATTAATTATTTTTATAATTAATTTTTATTTTTTTTTAAGATTTTATTATTCATGAGAGACAGAGAGGCAGAAGCAGAGGGAGAAGTAGGCTCCATGCAGGGAGCCCGATGTGGGACTTGATCCTGTACCCCAGGATCACGCCCTGAGCCGAAGGCAGGTCCTCAACTGCTGAGCCTAATTATGAACATTAGGCGTCCCTAATTATGAACATTTTTAAACATAGGGAACAATAGAACTTTCCTGTGCCCACCACTCAGCTTTACCAGTTAACTAATGGCCAATTTAATTTCTTCTATACCTTTGTCCACTTCCCTTCTAGTAGTATTCTAAAACAAATCCCCAACATTTTGCCACTTCATTTGTAAATATTTCAGTATTCTTAAAAGATGAGTCTTTTTTTTTTTAATGACCATGTGTTATACCAAAAAAAGTTACGTGTCAGTGTCATAAGAGATAATAAAATGGCAGAGCTATTCTAGATTAGAGATTACAGAAAGATGACAATAAAATGCAATGTGTGAACCTTCATTGGCAAAAGAACAATTTATAAAGGATATTAGGACAATTTACAAAAGAATTTGGGCTATTTAGATAATGGTATTAATAATAAATTTCCCGAATATATATTTCCTGTTCATTGTATTATAGTTATATAGGAGAATCCCTTTATTCTGGGAAGATTACTGCTAATATGCTTAGGGTAAAATCTGTCTGCAAATAATTCTCATGTCCAACAAAATATTTACATGTACATATACTCACATAAATTAGAAGAGAGAAAGTAAATACAGCAATATATTAACAGTTCATAAACTAGGTGAAAGGTATCTGGGTCTTCACAGTTCTATCTTACAGTTTTGTAAGTTAAATCAGGATCCAGATAAAGTTCACATGTTGTGATTGGTTGATATGTCTTCACATCTGTAGGTTTTCCATTTCTTTTTTCTTTTAATTCATCGTTGATATAACTGAGTCATTCATCCTATAGTTTTCTACAGATTAGGTTTTGATGTTGCATTGAAGTAGTATAACATGTTTTTCTGTTTCTGTCTTTCCCATGAACTGGTAGTTAAGTCTGAGTGTTGATCAGACAGGTTTGATTTGAGGGAACAAGACTACTTCATAGGTGGTGGTGTTTCTTTCCATCTAGAGATACATGATGTCTGGTTGTCTGGGCCTTTTTATAATGTTAGCATCTGTTGGTGCTCAGTGGTTAAGCCCATTAACTTAGGGTTTGGAAAATGATGCTATCATTCCTTCTTTTTTTTTTTTTTTTTAAGATTTTATTTTTAAGTAATCTCTACACCCGATGTGGAGCTTGAACTTACAACCCCAAGATCAAGAGTTGCATGCTCCACCAACTGAGCCAGCCAGGTGCCACTATCATTCCTTCATTTATTTTTTTTTTCTTTAAAGATTTTATTTATTCATGAGAGACAAAGAAAGAAAGGCAGAGATAAATGCTCAACCACTGAGCCAGCCACCCAGGCATCCCTCATTCCTTCTTTTATTAGTGAAATAGTTCTATAAAGAGAAACTTCACTTTGTCTATTTGTTTAGCTAGTGGTGTAGTTTATATAGGAAAAGCAGGATAAATGCTTGGTTCTTTCCCTTACCAAGTTCAGAGTGATGAGTTGGTTCATTAGTATACTCCATTCATGCCTAAACAGGTTTTGTTGTTTTTACTTTAATATGAACTCATTAATTTAAACATATTTGTGATTGAATGCCATTTCAGTTTTCTTTATTGAAGTTCAAATTTTCCTTCATAGGTATCACAGTGTGTGTTACTTTCTCGCTATCTGATATGACAGGATGTTCATGTTCAACCTGTACATCTGTTGTCCCCCAGACATGGAATTAGTCCTTTCTCCAAAGTATCCTAGTTTCTTTTTGTGGTTTTTAAAAATCAAAATCTGGCTGCCAAGGGTTCATTTAGCTGCTGGGTTCACAATTGTTTCTAGCCCTGCTGACAGAGATCAGAATTTTTTTCTTTTTTCTTTTTCTTTTTTTTAAATTTTTTGTTTTAGAATTTTTTTCAAGGTAAAATATAATTATGAGTTGATACCATCTTTTTTTATATCCTCTTTTTAAAGGATCTTTTTTTAGTGGTGTACATTATCTAAAGCAAGAAAATGACCAAATGTCTTTTAAAAGCTCCCTACAGATCTTAAACTAGCTTATTCAACTTTCTTATCGAATTGACCTTTTATGTTATAGATGATAGGGAAGACCGCTGTGTTTAATTTCAGTGAAATGTAATTCTGTGGATTTGTTTCTTTCTGTTTATTTGCAAATGGTAGGAGGCTATGAGGTTGTAGCAGAAAAAATAATGAGTTGACTATGTAGGTGAGAACTGACTTTAGAGCTTTAAATGAAAGGAAGAAAACAAACAACAAAAAAAACAAATTGTTTTCTTAAAAACCACATGTGAATTATATGGAGGAAAAATCCAGTTAAGTTGTGAACCAGGGGCATGAGGACTAAGGTTAGCCACATGAGAAAACCCTAGCTTTGAAAGCCAAAACTAGTTTTTTTTCTTTCAGATATTGGCAGATCTTACAATTCTGTTCTGGATGATTTTAAAAGTACAGTATTTATAACTTTAGCTAAGTTGGATTAATTTTAACAAACACCTTGGGTAAGGTACTCACCAAGAATTTAGAAATAAGGGAAACTGGACTGTCCTCTGCTGGTATACCTGAGGTAAACCCAGGAAATTAACTTTCAGAAATGCACTGGTTGCCAGACAGGCATAGCTAGATAATTCAGAATAGCAGCTTCTTAAGGTACTTAATGGGATTTGCATTCTAATCAGGCATTGTCACCTACAGTGAGATGTTCTCTTGGGGACTGCACCTGGGGTTAGCTGTTAGTACCATCTCAGTGAGACTGCCTTAGCTTTGTGAGATGACTCCTGTACCTACATTAAAAGAATATGAAACGTTGCCATTTTTTTGTTTAGATTATATCAGTATCCCATGGTGACAATTAGGCACTCTGTAAGAGTCAAATTCTTTTATATAGAGGGTAAAATGGTCACAATACACCAGTAGTAACTATGTACCAGGAATTGTTAATAGTTATCTACATATATTAACTCATTTTCCTCTTGATAAATCTCTGAGGTTTAGTAGGTGCTATTTTTATCTCTTACAAATGGGGACAGCTTTAAAGGTTCACCTACTTGTCCAAAGACTTATAGCTAGAAAAAAGCAGAACCCAAAGACTTTTAGCCAGGAAGTCTGTTTCTGGAATAGCCTGCACTTAATTAACACTTATTGTTACCTGCTACACAATGGTAATAGGAGACAGTTTTCTTATTAAGGAACGATCTTAAGAAACCAAACCACAGGGATCCCTGGGTGGCACAGTGGTTTGGCGCCTGCCTTTGGCCCAGGGCGCGATCCTGGAGACCCGGGATCGAATCCCACGTCGGGCTCCCGGTGCATGGAGCCTGCTTCTCCCTCTGCCTATGTCTCTGCCTCTCTCTCTCTCTCTGTGTGTGACTATCATAAATAAATAAATAAATAAAATAAAAATAAAATAAAAAAAAGAAACCAAGCCACAGGTAAGAAAGCTGAGTGCTAATACATGGAACAAGTGTTTGCCTAACCTGTCTGGGTCCTCTGGGATCCCTCTCTTTCAGTGTTGAAAAACACTGCTCATATTTTCCTAAAAGTTACCCTTTTAGTTCTGATTACTTCAGCTTTTCATATGCATTAGATAGTGCATCCTTAAAATAGTCTTGGACACAGAGTAGATGGCTAAGCATTAGTTTCTGCTTTAAAACCCTGTGGCCTCTCCACCTATCACCTTAGACCATTGGATCAGAATCTAGCCACATATGTCTAAATGTTAATCTTTTTATTTTCCATTTAAAAAAGAAAACTCGGGATCCCTGGGTGGGATCAGCGGTTTGGCGCCTGCCTTTGGCCTAGGGCGCGATCCTGGAGATCCGGGATCGAATCCCACCTCAGGCTCCCGGTGCATGGAGCCTGCTTCTCCTTCTGCCTATGTCTCTGCCTCTTTCTCTTTCTCTCTCTCTCTCTCTGTGTGACTATCATAAATAAATAAAAATTTAAAAAAAAATAAAAAAAGAAAAAGAAAAAAGAAAACTCTTGGGCAGCGGGGGAGGCTCAGTGGTTTTGCGCTGCCTTTAGCCCGGGGTGTGATCCTGGAGACCCGGGATCAAGTCCCACATCGGGCTCCCTGCATGGAGCCTGCTTCTCCCTCTGCCTGTGTCTCTGCCTCCCTCTCTCTCTGTGTCTCTCATGAATAAATAAAATCTTAAAAAAAAAAAAAAAAGAACAGTAATTCCTTAATCAAATATCCACATCCTATTTAAGTTTCCTAGATTAGCTCACAAAAATTATTCTATAGGTTTGTTTAAATCAGGACCCAAATAAGATCCATACATTGTAATGGGTTGAGATATCTCTTATTTATATTCCTTATGTCTTTTTTAGTCTGGAAGTTCCTCTTTTATCTTGTTCTTTTTTTTTTTTTCTTCCAGTTTTTTTGTTGAAGAAACTAGATTGTTATAGAGATAATTTAGTCTTAGGTATTCTCTTTCTGTCAATAAATCTTATTCTAAGTTTTATTTTTTAAAATTTTTTCTAAGTTTTATTTTTGATGAAATATTAAAATAAGCCAGTTAGCCTTTCGATTAAAAAAATTGTTGATGTACTTTTCAGAGAGGGGAAGCTAAGCAAAAATTCTTTTTTTCTTTGATAAATAAATTATCTCAAATTTCATAGTTTTTCTCATAAATCTGTTGAACATCTTTTCTATAAAATTTCTCCATGATTTATACATTTTATGCATATTTATTCTGAAAAGATTTATATATGTTTATTTTTGTAGCCCTTGGAAAAGAAGTTTGTCCGAGTTTCGGGAGAAGCAACTATTGGGCATGTAGAAAAATTCCTCAGAAGAAAAATGGGCCTTGATCCAGCTTGTCAGGTAGTGTACATGTATGTAAAAGGACAGATGAAGTTGAGAGATTACCTGTAGTGTATTGAAGAAAGAACTGTCTCTAGGATTTCATGATGTGGTTTTTGTTTTATGATATGTAGATATTGTAAATACAAATTAAATATTGGGGGATCCCTGGGTGGCGCAGCGGTTTGGCGCCTGCCTTTGGCCCAGGGCGTGATCCTGGAGACCCGGGATCGAATCCCACATCGGGCTCCCGGTGCATGGAGCCTGCTTCTCCCTCTGCCTGTGTCTCTGCCTCTCTCTCTCTCTCTCTGTATGACTATCGTAAATAAATAAAAAAATTTAAAAAAAAAAAAAAAAAAACAAATTAAATATTGGTACACAGTGATTCCAGCCCCACTTTTTTTTTCTTTTTTTAAGATTTTATTTGAGAGTGAGAGAGCTCAAGCACAAGCAGGGGAAATAGCAGAGGAGAGGGAGAAGCAGGCTCCCCACTGAGCAGGGAGCCCTACATGGGGCTCCATCCCAGGACCCTGAAATCATGACCTGAGCTGAAGGCAGACACTTAACTGACTAAGCCATGGTGCCCCTCCAGCCCCATTTTAATCACATTTGACTTACTCTCTGCTTCTTGCTGCCACTGATTATCACCTGTGTCAGAGAAGAGCTGAGGATATATGCCTCAGTTCCCCCTCTTTGATAGTAATGTAACAGATTATTTATTACCCATCCACCTCTTTTCAGAGGACATCTTTGCATTTATAACAAGTTACCTCCAAGAAACCTAGGAAAGTAAAATAGCTATCTAATATAAGCCCTATTTATTTTTTGAGCATTAGAAAAGATCTCCCATTCTAGCTATATAATTTGTTCTTGTTGTAAGGTGGAAACTCAAACCTCGTGTACTGTTGAACATAACAGAATGTGCACCAGTGAAAATGCACATCTGTATGGTTTTGCTTTTTCATTACATAAATTTTAAGTGGGGTTTTATTATTCTCCATTACTTGTAAAATTTCATAAAATAATTTTGTAACACCTATTTGCTATTAAATAAAGAAACTGATATTTTATTTTTTAAATATTTTATTTATTCATGAGAGACACAGGCAGAGGGAGAAGCAGGCTCCATGTAGGGAGCCCGATGCAGGACTCGATCCCGAGACCCCAGAATCACGCCCTGGGCCGAGGGCAGGCGCTTAACCGCTGAGCCACCCAGGGATCTCGCTAACTGATATTTTAAAGTTGGCTGAAATTTTGGTAGTGTTTTTAGTACTTGTATTTGTGGATACTAAATATATATCTAATCCAGGGAACAGTGACTACTCTTGACTGAGTTAGGCAATGCTGGCTATATCTCATGGCAACTAAAAGCTGGAATGATTTATCTGTCACCTTGTAGCCATAGTTTACCTGAGGTTACTCCTAGTCTTTTGGTTACAAATCGGTAGCTGCTTAGAGACCTCTGGACAAAGAATTGTGAGTGATCCCATAATCTATTATTTCTAAAAATAGAAGTCAGAAGACTTATACCTGATTATATAGAATAACTAAGAAGTGCCACCCAATAGGATTTTCTTAGAATATAGTTCTGTGGCTAGGTACTGATCAAAACACATTTCTAAGTTTTACATTGGTGTTTTAAGAAAGGTAGTAGTTGCAGGGCACCTGGGTGGATCAATTGGTTAAGCATCAGACTCTTGATTTTAGCTCAAGTCATCATCTCAGGGTTGTGGATCAAGCCCTGCGCTGTGCTTGAGCCCACACAATGGGCATGGAGCCTGCTTAAGATTCTCTCCGGGATGAGAGGGAGACTCTGCCTATATCTCTGCCTCTCTCTGTGTATCTCTCATGAATAAATAAATAAAATCTTAAAAAAAAAAAAAAGAATTCAAGGCTTTTAGCATTTAAGAATAAAATTACATAAAATCTGTTTTAACATTTAATTTTCTCTGTCAGCTCTTGGCTCTCTAGGTAAATATTTCTTTCCTATTCAGGTAACATATAGCTGGTAACACTCATAAATTACTGTTTCACCAACATGTTGAAATAGTGAAACGGAGGATTATCAAATATGCAGATATTGTGACTAAAATTGTTTAGACCTTCTAAATCCAAAAGAGAATAAACAACAGTTAACTTCTAACATGAGCAGAACATCGAGCTAGTTAACCATTAATCAAAATAAAATGCTTGGGCGAAAACCCGGTCACTTGAGCCTGCTATGTCGACCTTTTTTTTTTTTTTTTTAAGATTTTATTTATTTATTTCTGAGAATACACAGAGGAGAGAGAGAAGCAGGCACCATGCAAGGAGCCTGATGCGGAACTCGATCCCGGGTCTCCAGGATCAGGCCCTGGGCCGAAGGCGGTGCTAAACCGCTGAGCCACCTGGGCTGCCCGTCGACCTTCTTTAAACTAGTTATTCTCAAGTAGGAAATGTGTGCCTTGTCTACAGATACGTGACCTTCATTTATGGTTATTTACTAGCAGGAATGAATGATTACTACGGGACTGTTAAATGATAAACTAGCTTTAAAGTTATTTGTGACAGGTAGCCTGGGTGGCTCAGCGATTTAGTGCCTGCCTTCAGCCCAGGGCGTGATCCTGGAGTCCCTGGATCGAGTCCTACATCAGACTCCCTGTTTGGAGCCTGCTTCTCTCTCTGCCTGTCTCTGCCTCTCTTTCTCTCTCTCTCTCTCTCTTTCTCTCTCTCTCTGTCTCTCATGAAGAAATAAATAAAATCTTCAAAAAAAAAGTTATTTGTGGCACATCAGAATAAAAGAAGGAAGACAATTCTGAAAGATAATAAAAAAACAGATCATGTATTCTTAAAAGAGATTTAAGTTAATTCAAAATTAGAAACCAGTGATTATCTGAATAGATTCCAACAGAGGCCTCAGTGCCTCTGGATTGCCAGGGTTGATTTAGTGGTGTTTTGAACTCATATATGTTTTATTTTGTTTTATAGTTATTGTGTTCCTTTGTACATAGTTTGATCTTCAGATTTTATTTTGCTTTTGTGAAATGAGACTTAGAAAATGAATATCACAATGATCTCTAAAAATTTTTATATAAAAGAAATACTAGATTTTGTTAATCCTATCATAATTCTATTTTTAAAAGATAGGTTATTTTTATTATTATTTATTTAGTATATGACTTTAACGTTACTATAAAATTGTTTCTAAATCAATTTTTTTTAATAAATTAATTTTTCTAAATCAATTTTTAAACAGACTGTAATGTATCATAAGGCTTGACCCTACCATTTATTTATTACCTATTGGTATTAAATTGAGGATCTATATCCTTGGACTTAAGAGTACAAAGATAAGGGACACCTGGGTGGCTCAGCCATTAAACGTCTCTGCCTTCAGCTCAGGGCATGACCCTGGAGTCCCGGGATCGAGTCCCACATCGGGCTCCCTGCTAGGAGCCTGCTTTTCCCTCTACCTATGTGTTTGCCTATTTCTCTGTGTGTCTCATGAATAAATAAAATATTTAAAAAGAAAAGAAAAAGAGTACAAAGATGAGACAGAAAATTCATGCCACCCAGGGACTCAGTTGTGTGGAAAAGATACACAAGAAAACAACTCTATGACAATAGGATATGGTGAGTACAAGAAGAGCACAAGGGTAAATGATTTAAATCTGGAGGAGCCAATGAACAGACTTGAAGAGTAGATAGGAATTGCCAATGAAAAAATAACTTTATCAAAGAAAAGAATATGTATGAACAAATGCGGTACTAGCTCATTCAATGAAATATCCTATCTTGGAATCTAGTGTGATTTTGCTTGTAAAAAAAAAAAAATACAGATTAAAAAAAAAATAAAATGATACAGGTTTTTCTTGCCTTAAGACTATCCTCATATTCTGACTTTTCTTTCTTTCTCTTTCTTTCTTTCTTTCTTTCTTTCTTTCTTTCTTTCTTTCTTTCTTTCTTTCTCTTCCTTCCTTCCTTCCTTCCTTCCTTCTTTCCTTTCCTTTCCTTTCCTTTCCTTTCCTTTCCTTTCCTTTCCTTTCCTTCTTTTCTTTCTTTTCTTTTCTTTTCTTTTCTTTTCTTTTCTTTTCTTTTCTTTCTTTTTAATATTTTATTTATTTATTCATGAGAGACACAGAGAGAGGCAGAGACATAGGCAGAGGGAGAAGCAGGCTCCATTCAGGGAGCCTGATGTGGGACTCGATCCCAGGACTCCAGAATCATGCCCTGGGCTAAAGGCAGACGCTAAACCACTGAGCCACCCAGGGATGCCCTCACATTCTGATTTCTGCTCTGAGATCAAGAAATATTATAGTTGTCCTTTCTATCTGAAACTTGATACTCCAGAGGGTAGAAAGATTATACAGAAAAAAGTTAATAAGGCTGACTTTTGAGGTTGCTGTCTTTAGAAGGGCCTGCTCACAAGGTTAGCCCTTGCCTAGCATCTAGGAACTTGGGTTGCAAAAAGTTTCCTACAATAATAGGAAAATAGGGAATAGTTCCCTAACCAATAAGGGTGTTAATACTATGCCTAGACTATATAAACAGTGGGTCTGTGCTAAATACCAGCTTTCCTTCTGGGAGTTTGGAATTTAGTAGTTGCTAGACAGAGAATGCCAACATGAACAGCCCTCAGTAAAAATCTACTCTGATCTTCAAATGGGCTTCCCTGGATAGAAACATCATACAAGTTGGCTGCATTTCCAGTGCTAGGAAAAGGAGTACTGTGGGTGTGTCTTTTCCTGATCTGAGGAGGGTATGTGTGCATAGGAAGCTAGTGCGTGGACTTGTCCAGATTCCATCTACATCTTTTTCCCTCACTGATCTGGCCATGTGTCCTTGCTGTGTTTTGTGAGTCCATCTAGCAAATTACCAAATATGTGGGTTATGTTTGTGGAAACTTCAGATGTGACTGTTTGAATGTGATGATTTATGAAATATTTGTAATCATGTGACTTAAAAATGAGTATGTAAAATTGAAAGCAATTTAAATGTTTATTAATGGGATGGGGACATAAATTACGATATATTCATAAAATGGAACACCATAGCTATTAGAGCTGTGTACTTCAAAGATGTCCATGGTATATTAAGTTTTTTTTTTTGTTTTTTAAATAACTTGTAGAACAATTTATGTGGTATAATCCCATTTAAAAAAAAAAACCCACATGCACACATAGCATTTAGGGCCATATACATCAAAATGTTAGTAACTGGCCACCTTCTGGGGGTTAAGATTAAGTTGAAAAATGTAGTAACCAAACCATAAATGTATACCATGTGGTGAAGTTCAGGAAGAGTGATGGCCCTTGGATTGGTCAATATTAAATCAAAATGTAGTGATAGTTTCCTAATTCTTTAATTTTTCATGGATCTAAATTCTGTGCACAAGGTACGCTACCATTGCTTTTAAGCCATTTTGCAAACAAGTATTGCTCTGCCAATTTTGAAACTAGCAAGTGTGAAACACAAAAGGTGGTACTAATCAGAGTTTATGCATTATGAGATAGCATGGGTGTTGACAAATTATGACCTATGGGCCAAATCTAGCTTACCATCTGTTTTTATAAATAAAATTTCAGTGGAACACAGCCATGCTAAAGCTGTTTTCATGCGGTAGTGGCAGATTGAGTAGATATGACAGAGATCCAGAAGCCATCCTTACTGTCTAACATTTTATGGGAAAGGTTTGCCAACCCCTGACATGTACTTAGGCTTTGGAGAAAGATAGTCGTGGAGACAGACCTGGGTTTAGATCTGGACTTTGCTAGTTACTAGCTTTGTGACCTTAGGAAAGTTAAATGTTTTTACCTTTTAGTATTCCTTTCTGTATAATGGGAATTATAATACCTAGCTCACAAGAATGTGAAGATTAGATGAGATCCCATATGTTGAATACGTAGTATAACATATGGTGGACATAGTAGCTTCTCAGTGAAATGCAACTGCTTTCACTATTCTTCCCCATCCATGCCTATGGTTTTAGGGAGATTAACATGTTGGCAGTGTGTTGGGTTTTTAGAGTAAACAGAATTTGAAAGTAGGAAATGTGGTTAGGAGGTGGTGTGGTTTCTGCTTTAAGCCTAGGGGCAGCAGCTGAAAGGATGATATGAACTCTAAGGGGTATGATGAAAAAAGCAACCATAGGAGTTGGTAACTTTGCATGTAAGAAGAAAGGGAAAGGAGAAATACAAGAGTCAGAAGTGATGTTCTATTCTGGGTTAGAGAACAAGAAGAAATGTCATGTTATAAACTAAACAAGGACATAGGAGATGTAGCCAATGAAGGGATCTAGATTAATATTAATAAGACATCAAGGACTTGACCCCATTTTAAGGCAATGGGAAAGGAGCACCCATTGCAAGACAAAGATTGAAGATTTGCATTCCTGTCTTAGCAAGTAGGTATACTGGAATCTGACTACCATATAGTATATAACTTGTTATATACATTGTATACGTCATAATTTCTAGAGCATCAGCTGTAAAAGTAGATATATTTTAGAGCTTTGACTTACTAAAGATACTTAAGATCTTAAGATGTTGCATCCATAAAACAGTTCCCTTAGTGTGTACTTTATGTCAGGGTTAGGCTCTGCATTGTTGGAAAATGAGATGTTCCTTATAATAGAATTATCCAAATAACTAAAGAATGGCTTTTTAAGTATTATATACCCTTTTAATCATTTTATCATGGAACTTAAAAAAACTGTACCTTGATGCTGAATATATCAAGTGACTTTACTTGTTCTCAGAGATTCAAGGAAGTCATTTTGAGTATCTGCTGTACTATGCTATTGTCCTTCAATGTCTTCTAATGCTCCTTCCATTTTGCTTTATTTTTGTAGCAAGTTTCTAAAATCTGTCTTGAGGGTGTTTTATCATTCTAACATAAAATAGCAAAATCTAGTCTGGGAGTAATTTTTTTTTTTTTTTTGTCTGGGAGTAATTATGTTGGGTTTTTCCTTAATTTTTTCATATGATTTTTTGAAGCAGGAAAGCAATTTGATACTCTTACTTGCCTGTAGGTAGATATCATCTGTGGTGATCACTTGTTGGAGCAGTATCAAACTCTAAGGGAAATCCGTCGTGCAATCGGTGATGCAGCAATGCAGGTTGGTCTTAGACTTTATCATGCTTATGCCTAACAGGGAAGTTATTTAATGAAAGAAATGTTATTAGCCTTACTTGTACTGTAAATAGTAAAGGTAGTATTTATTGGATGCTTACTGTGTGTCAGGCACTTTTTAAAATGGTTTATGTGGTAGCTCTTTTATTCCTCATATTTCTATGTTTTCTATGGACATATTTTTACTTCTCTTTGGTGTACATCTAGGAGTGGAATCACTGGGTCATATGGTAATTAGGTGTTTAACATTTTGAGGAACTGTTAGACTGTTTCTGTTTCCAAAGCAACTTCACCATTTTATAATCCCTCCAGCAGTGTATGTGGGTTCCAGTTTCCCTAGATCCTTGCCAACACTTGCTATCTATTTTTTTTTTATTACAGCCATCCTTTCAGGTGTGCAGTGGTCTCCTTGTGGTTTTGATTCCTTTTTTTTTTTAAGATTTTATTTATTTATTCATGAGAGACACAGAGAGAGAGGCAGAGGGAGAGGAAGAAGCAGGTTCCATGCAGGGAGCCCAATGTGGGACTTGATCCCGAGACTGCAGGATCGTGCCCTGAGCTGAAGGCAGATGCTCAACCACTGAGCCACCCAGGTGTCCCGCGTGGTTTTGATTTCATTTACCTGATGACTAGTCATGCTGAGGATCTTTTCCTGTATTATTGGCCATTTGTTTATCTTCTTTGGAAAAATTTCTATTTAGATCCTTGGCCCATTTTTAAAAATTGGGGGTTTTGTCTTTTAGTATTGAGTTGTAAGAATTCTTCATATATCCTAAATTCTAGTCCACCACTATCAGGTATACGATTTGTAAAAAATTTCCCCTATTCAGTGGGTTGTCTTTTCATTTCCTTTGTGCTGACCTTTCAAACACAAAAGTTTTTAATTATAATGAAGTCGATTTTATCTGTTTTGCATTTTGTTCCTTCCGTGTTTGGTGTCCCATCTAAGAAACCATTGCCTAATCCAGGATCATAAATATTTACACCTATATTTACCATATATTAATTTTACTTATTCTAGGATGTCATGTAAGTGGAATCATAGAACATGTACTCTTTTGTGTCTGGCATCTTTAATTCAGCATACATTTTGAAACTTATCCATGTAGTTGCATGTAGCAACTTTTATTGCTTTTTATTGCTGCGTAATATTTCTTTGTATAACATGCCATATTTTATCATTTTCCTATTCATAGATATATGGGATATTTCCAGTTTTTGGCTAATACAAATAAAGCAGCTATAAACAGTCCTATACAAGTAAATTTTTTTCTCCCTCTTCCTAGTCGTCTTTTTAAACCAGTTTTTTGAGAACATATGCTTTCGCTTATTTTGGACAAATAACTAGGAGTGGAATTGTTGCATCATAGGAAAGATGTATATTTTGTTTGATAGGAAACAAATAATTGGTACATTTTGATGTGATTTTTGTGACTGTGCTTTACCACCAACCTATAAAGAACTATTGCTGAAATTTCTGCAGCCTTAATGGACTAGTCTATTGTGGATAATTTTATTTTATTTTTTTTTTTGCTTGGTTTTCTTTTTACTAATTTGCTACAAGTTTCCTTGCACCCACCACTCAGATTTAATGAGTGTTAACACTTTGGTTTTTCAGACAAAAAGATAATAAATTTTTATCTTTTTTTTTTTTAAGATTTTACTTATTTATTTATTTACTTACTTAGAGTGTACAAGAGCAGGGCAAGGGAGAGAGGGCATCCCAAGCAGACTCTGTGCTGGCACAGAGCCTGATGCAGGGCTCGATCTTAAGACCCTGAAATCATGGGATCCCTGGGTGGCGCAGCGGTTTGGCGCCTGCCTTTGGCCCAGGGCGCCATCCTGGAGACCCGGGATCGAATCCCACATCGGGCTCCCGGTGCATGGAGCCTGCTTCTCCCTCTGTCTGTGTCTCTGCCTCTCTCTCTCTCTCTCTCTCTCTCTCTCTCTCTCTCTCTCTAGCTATCATAAATAAATAAAAATTAAAAAAAAAAATAAAGACCCTGAAATCATGACCTGAGCTGAAATCAAGAGTCAGACACTTAACCAACTGAGCAACCCAGAGACTCCCAAAATTCTTATTATTTTAAAAAGAATTTTGAAACAAACAAGTGTCAATACTCAACAAACTTGAGTACTGGTTACAAAGGTATTATATTAATCTTTGTACTTTGGAAAATTTTTAAACCTTCAGAAAAATCATAGGATTAGTACAGTGAACATCCATCTGTGCTTTACCTGGATTCACCAGTTTTAAAAGTTAGGATTCTGTTTGGGAGACAGAATCAATATGAATGTTGGGGAATAAAGGATTATAGACAGTTGTAGGGGCTGGTGAAGAGCAGTGTGGAAAGATATTGCCTGTGGACTAGTAGTCATTGTAAATCAACAGGGCAGCAATTGCAAGAAAAGATAGATATAAAGTGTAGAATAGTGAAAATAAACTGGGACCTAGGGATCCCTGGGTGGCGCAGCGGTTTGGCGCCTGCCTTTGGCCCAGGGCGCGATCCTGGAGACCCGGGATCGAATCCCACATCGGGCTCCCAGAGCATGGAGCCTGCTTCTCCCTCTGCCTGTGTCTCTGCCTCTCTCTCTCTCTCTCTCTCTCTCTCTGTGACTATCATAAATAAATAATAAAAAAAAATTTAAACTGGGACCTATAAGGAGAAAGTGGAATGTGTGTCTCATCATTTCCATATTCAGTGACATGGGTGATCTGTAGACAAAGCTGGTGATCTTTGGCCCAAAACTTAGAGAGGCTTAGGGTGGAGCTCTTTTGGGAGCAAGAGGAGTTAGTTGCAGGCCTGGCTGCTGCCCTCTACCAACAATATGAGCCAGCATACCAGCAACAATGTGTATAAACTAGCTGGGCATCTGGCCCCTGTAATAACCTGAGTGTAATGGCTTCTGCTTCCTTCCACTTTGCAAATCTTATTGGCTAACTCAAAGGGAAGGGAATTCTGGAAAATATAGTTCCAGTTTGACTAAGCTGACCTACCAAAATATAAAAGAACCGACTAAAATGAAAAAGACTCACAGAATAAGTGTTGGTGTGGATGTGGAATGACTAGAATTTATATACTTTGGTAGTGGGAACTGATCTAATCACTTTGGAGTTCTGCTGGTACTATCTACTAAAGCCATGTATATATACACTCTACTCCCTCAGCAATTCCACTCCTGAGTATAAATCTAGGAGAAATGAATATGATGTCCACCACAAGATATGTACAAGATACAGTAGCTTTAGGGTCACCTGGGTGGCTCAGTGGTTGAGCATCTGCCATCCGCCCAGGGCGTGATCGTGGTGTCCCGGGATTGAGTCCCACATTGGGCTCCCTGCATGGAGCCTGCTTCTCCCTCTGGCTATGTCTCTCCCTCTCACTGTCTCTCATGAATAAACAAAATCTTAAAAAAAAAAAAAAGATATAGTAGCTTTATTCATGATAGTCACAAACTAGAAGCAACCCAAATGTCCAAAAAAGGATGAGTAAAAAACTGGCATATACATACAATTAAGTACAACTACCATATACTGCAACATGGACTAATCGCACAGGCATAATACTGAGCGAAAGAAATGGGACCCAAAAGAATATAGTTGATAATCATTATTCATAGATTCCATATTTGTAGATTTGCTTACTGATAAATGTTTTATTGTAACCTCCAAATTAATACTAATAGCCATCTCATGGCCATTCAGTTTTTCATGACTTTTTAAAATGATATTTGAAAAAAAAAATGATATTTGGATTTTTTAAAGAAATCACAAGTTTTGTAATTTTGCAAATAAAACTTACATGTAATTCAGTATTGGAAAGATGCTACAAGGCTGATTGTTCTTTATTATGATATTACAGGTTATATTATCCTTCAGTTATATAGGTACACTATAGTTGTGATAACAGTTTGTCAGAGTAGTAAAAGTAATCAGCAATACAATGATTAGGAACCTTTTTTTTTTTAATGATTGTCATTATTAACTTGGATTTTGTGTGTGATTTACAAGGAGGAAAGAGGACTTAGTCACTTACTGTTTCTTTGAAAATGTAACTGGCTTTTCCTTGAGCAACAGTTTTCTTTATTTCCAAAAAGAACACGAAGATACATGAAATGTAATTATTTTTGCAATATAGCCAGCTTAGTGATGAATGAAATGGTGTTAGGACTTGAGGGGGGGGAATGTCTGGGTGGCTCAGCAGTTGGGCGGCTGCCTTAGGCTCAGGTCATGATCCCAAGATCCGGGATCGAGTCCCATATCGGGCTCCTGTGGGGAGCCTGCTTCTCCCTCTTCCTGTGTCTTTTCCTCTCTCTCTGTGTCTCAAATGAATAACTAAATTTTTTTTTAAGAAAAAAAAAAAAAAAGAACAACAGCTTGGGAAAAAAGTCTTGAAGATATTTGGGTTGGAAAGTGTAAAGAAAAAGGGAAATCCCTTGATCAGCCTGCCAGGCTAATTGAGGAGTAACACATATATCATGTGGAATTGCTTGGAGCTCAGAAAAAGACAGTATTACTAATAATTAACATTTTTTGAGCCCTTAATGAATGCTGCTAAACATGCAAAAGGATATGTGTTAAGCTCTTTTTTTTTTTTTTAAGATCTTAAGTAATTTCTAGGTCCAATGTGGGGCTCAAACTGACCACCCCGAGATCAAGAGTCATATGCTCCACTGACTGAGCCAGCCAAGCGCCCCAAAACATGTGTTATCTTGTTTAAGCCTCACAACAACCTTAAGAGATAACAATTGTTACCTCCTTTTTTTCTTTTTATTTTTTTAAGATTTATTTTTATTTTTTTTTTTTAATTTTTTTAAATTTTTATTTATTTATGATAGTCACAGAGAGAGAGAGAGAGAGAGAGAGAGAGAGGCGCAGAGACATAGGTAGAGGGAGAAGCAGGCTCCATGCACCGGGAGCCCGATGTAGGATTCGATCCTGGGTCTCCAGGATCGCGCCCTGGGCCAAAGGCAGGCGCCAAACCGCTGCGCCACCCAGGGATCCCAAGATTTATTTGTATTTTAGAGAGAGAGTATGAGCATGTGCAAGTGAGGGGCAAGGGGCAGAGGGAGAGAGAGAGAAGCAGACTCCCTGCTGAGCCTGGAGCCTGACATGGCTCGATCCCATGACCCAAGCAGAAACCAAGGACCAGACACTCAAGCAACTGAACCTCCTATTTTCCTATTTTAAAATATTATTTTGAGATAACTTAAGACTTAGAGAAAAATTACAAAAATAGTACTAAAAGTTCTTATGTAGATACCATTCAGCATCCTTTAATATTAACACCTTGCATGACCATGGTACATTCACCAAAACTTAAGAAATTAACATTGTTGCAACACTATTAATGAAACTGCAGACAATGAGTTTTGCTAGTTTTTCCACTATTCTTTCTCTGTCCTACGTTACACATCCTATTTAATTGTCGTGTCTCCTTGTCTTCTCCCAGTTTTTCAGTCCTTGTTTTCATGACTTTGATACTTTTGAAGAGTATTGGTCAGTTATTTTATAAACCGTCCCTCGTTTGGGTTTGTCAGATGTTTTCTGATGACTAGATTGAGCATTTTTAGCAAGAATGCCATACAAGTGATAATGCCCTTCTCAAAGTATCATCAGAAGATATTTACTACCAATAGGTCTTTTTCTTTATAATTAATAATATTTTGGGAGATACCTTGAAACTATGCAGATAGCCTGTTTCTCCTTAAACGTTGCCCTCTATTCTAACATCCATTAGTGGATCTTATAGTTTAGAAAACTGACATGCAGAGGTTAAGTAACTTGTCCAGTGTCACTTGGCTATATAGTGGTAGATGCAAGATTCAAGTGTAGAAAAAAATTGAACTTAAAGTTCAGCCTTTTGGAGTGCTTGGGTGGCCCAGTCGGTTAACCATCTGCTTTTGGCTCGATCATGATCCCCATGTGAGGGTATCTAAAGATGTTATTTACGTTGAGAGAGAGAGAGTGCACACACATAAGCAAGGGGAAAGGGCAGAGGGAGAGGGAGAAGCAGACTCCCCAATGAGCAGGGAGCCTGATGCCAGGCTTGATCCCAGGACCTCTGGACCATGACCCGAACCAAAGGCAGATGCCTGACTGACTGAGCCACCCAGATGACCCTTTAGTTAAAATTAAGCTTGCTTGATTAGAAATATAAGAAACTAGTAGTAAAATCCCAAAGTCATTGAAGTAGGTAGAAAATATTACTTCAAAAAATATTTACAGAGCACTATTCTAGACATGTAGTGAGATTCAAAGATGAGCAAGTCCCTAAACTTAAATAATCTAATGATACATTTAAAGTTAAAGGCCTCAGTGACAAACAATATAAGTTCCACGGAGTCTTGGGACCTCTTAGCTAAATGAATGGTAATACCTCCTCAGTGGGAAAGCTAGGATATGGGACTTGAGGGAGAGAATGGTAGGAACTGAGATCTGGGCAGTTGGAATAAAACCATGTATGATTTTATAGGCCATAGTATGGAGTTCGGATTTTAATTGAGTAAGGTAGGAAATGATTGATTGGAGAGATTTAACCCAAGGACAGAAGTGACCTACTCTAACTTATGTTTTATTTATTTTTTTAATAATTAAAAAAATATTTTATTTACATATTTGAGAAAGATAGCAAGAGAGAGTATGAGCAGAGGAAGAGGGAGAAGTAGACTCTTTGCTGAGCAGGGAGCCTGATGCAGGGCTCAATCCTGGGGCTTCAGGATCATGACCTGAGCCAGAGGCAGACACTTAATTGACTGAACCACCCAGGCGTTCCTTTTTAAAATTATTTTATTTATTTTATTTTATTTTATGTTATGTTATTTTTATTTTATTTATTTTATTTATTTGAGAGAGACAAGAGCACGAGAAAGAGAGAAAGAGATCACCAGCAGGGGGAGGGATAGAGGGAGAAGTAGACTCCCCACTGAGCAGGGAACCCAATGTGGGACTCGATCCGACCCAGGATCACCACCTGAGCCAAAGGCAGACACTTAACAGACCGAGCCACCCAGGTGCCCTGACTTAGTTAGTTATGATATTATTTATTTACTCATGAGAGACACAGAGAGAAGCAGAGACACAGGCAGAGGGAGAAGCAGGCTCCATGCAGGGAGCCCGATGTGGGACTAGGTCATGAGACTCCAGGATTAGCCCCTGAGCCGAAGGCAGACACTCAACCGCTGAACTACCCAGGCGTCCCCTTGACTTAGGTTTTATTTTTTATTTATTTATTTATTTTTTTTTTTGACTTAGGTTTTTTTTTTTTTTTTTTTTTTGACTTAGGTTTTAGAAGACCCATTCTGGTTGGATAGTTTAAGAAGACCAGGGATAGAAACATCTAAATATAAAATATAAATAGGGCAGCCCCAGTGGCTCAGCAGTTTAGCGCCTCCTTCAGCCTAGGGCTTGATCCTGGAGACCCAGGATCGAGTCCTACATCGGGCTCCCTGCATGGAGCCTGCTTCTCCCTCTGCCTGTGTCTCTGCCTCTCCCTCTCTCCCTCTCTCTCTCTGTCTCTCATGAATAAATGATAAATAAAATCTTTTAAAAAATAAAATAAAATATAAATAACATTTGTATCTATATATATAGAATGTAAATATAATGGACATTTAGATATAATTATTTCATAAATGTTATTTTATACATGAATGCATACATAAAGTTGTTTTGAAGTCTTAAAACAGTTTATAAGCAACACTTTCAGCTTAATATCTCAGCAAAAAAAAAAAAAATCAGCATGGGGGATCCCTGGGTGGCTCAGCAGTTTGGCGCCTGCCTTTGGCCCAGGGTGTGATCCTGGAGACCCGGGATCGAGTCCCACATCGGGCTCCCTGCATGGAGCCTGCTTCTCCCTCTGCCTGTGTCTCTGCCTCTCTCTCTCTCTCTCTATGTCTATCATAAATAAATAAATAAATAAATAAATAAATAAATAAATAAATAAATAAATAAATAAATAAATAAATAAATAATGAATCTTTTAAAATATATATATATATATCAGCATGTATATTGTTTCCCAAAATGTTTTCATTTCTGAAACATAACCATATGCAAAAAAATTAACATTTTATAAAATGGAATTTGTGTCCTTGTAAGAATGTTAATAGAATCTATTTGTGTTGTAATACAAATTTATTTACTTTGATTAGGCTAATTAGTCTATAATCTGGTGGTCCATGGGCCAAACGTGGTATGAGACTATGTTTTATTTGGTTTATTCTGTGTTTTAAATATTTTTGAGTTGAATTCCTTTGGCTAAACATCTGGTGTCTCATTTCCCAGTGGTCTCAACATTCCCTACAGATTCACATACCTAACTTACATATTCATCTATGTTACTTTCCTGGCCCTTGTGGGCATTTGAATTTGTGAACCCTTTCTAGAATTCTGGTGAGTTTTCGCTGGAATTGCCAGGAATAGAATCCAGATTGCAATGAGTTGTGTAGTGAATGAGAAATGAGGAAGTAGAGCCATGCAAGAGCATAACAGAGAAGAAAGAGAGAGAGAGAGTAATAGAATGTGATTGAAAATGCAAGACATGCATGCCACCATTCCCTCTTACGTGTTGCTCAAAGTTAGCCCATTGCTCATGGCACACTTCCCCAATGACTCTTAGTTTTTAGCTAATTTTCTAGTTCGCAGTAGATTAAAAATAACACTTAAAAAGGTGGATTGTGGGACAGCTGAGTGGCTCCGCGGTTGAGCATTCAGCTCAGGGCATGATCCTGGAGTCCTAGGATTGAATCTCACATCAGGCTCCCTATGGGGAGCCTGCTTCTCCCTCTCCCTATGTCTCTGCCTCTCTTTGTGTGTCTCTCGTGAATAAATAAATAAAATCTTTTTAAAAATAAAAGGTGGATTGTTTCCTGTATGCAGACTTGGTGAGAACACAAAGGATTAAGATCTGATACTAAAAGAGGAGACAGAAACCAAAAAAGCAGATGAATAGATTCAGAAACATAGTGTCTGAAGTCATTTCCTATACGATTAAGTTACCTAGTAACTGAAGACCTTACTGAGTTATGGAACAGTTTAGTCACTGTTCATAATGATGACTGAGTATCAAAGAAAAGTTCAAGGGATGCCTGGCTGGCTTAGTCAGTAGAGTATGTGACTCTCACTCTCAGGATCTTGAGTTCAAGCCCCATGTTGGGTGTGGAAGCCTACTTAAAACAATAGTAAAAGAAAGGTTAAATTGTGTTGTGAACACTCGTTAAGACAGAGTTAAATTGTATGATACATTAAACAGGTAAGAGTTGCAAGGTTTTCTTAGAATAGTAAGCTGCATTTATATGGAAATCAATGTATCATTTCTTACAGAATTCATGATGCTTTATGATAATTGAGTCTTTCTTTAGGGAAGCCCAGTACTTAGGTGGTCTATTAAGTAGTCTGTGCAGAAAGAGAGATGTACCTCTCTTAGTTCTTTTCAGAGAACTGTTTAGCCATAAACAACCCTGGCTAGTTATGGAGTTTCAGAAGTACCTGTTGAAAGTCATTAAAAAGGCACATTGACAGAGAATGTTTGGTGATGGGGTGAATATGAATAAGCAAAGTTATTTATTTTGGACTCTTTATTCTCTATAAATCAAAGAATTTCCCATTAATGCTGGGCTTTGAAAAACCGTATCTGACTTAATTGTTTACATAACTGGTTTTCAAATAGTTACAAAACAGTTTTTTTTTTCTTCTCAGGATGGTCTGCTGGTCCTTCATTACGGTCTTGTAGTTTCTCCCTTGAAAATTACTTGAAGATTCTAGCAGCATTTGGAGGAGGGAAACAAAATAAGGAGGCTTCTGCAGGATTGCATTTCACCAAAGATTTCATTCGGTCTTGTAGTTTCTCCCTTGAAAATTACTTGAAGATTCTAGCAGCATTTGGAGGAGGGAAACAAAATAAGGAGGCTTCTGCAGGATTGCATTTCACCAAAGATTTCCACAAAACATGTAATTGCTACCACTTTGTGCTGTTTGAGGCATAACTTACCTATTTTCAGCACCAAGATTCATAGCATTTATAAGTACAATTTGGAATGATGGAATGCTTCTGTTTTACTAGAGACTATATAAAAAGCATCAATAGCTCAGGGGGAAATTTTCAAAGCATTAAATTTTTAAATTCCTTATGATTTCAAATACTTTGACATTGATTTTGCTTCCTAACCTTTGAGGTAAATCGGTTACTATTTTCTTCTTTGTTGAGCCATATCCCTTTCAGGTTGGTGGTTAGGATTCTGCTCTCTGGAATCATATCAGTTGGGCAGTCATCCTTTTGGAAAAGAAGTATGCTTTTGAACTAAAGATTCAAAGCCAGTCTTTGCTGAATTACAGAGTGTACCTCTCAGACAAAGACCAAAACTATTGACCACTTTTGTATGTTGCCATTGTACTTTGAACTTACATCTTTCATTTACCAGCAATACTACAGAGATGATATTTACTTCTAAAAGGGATGAATTCTCATTTTGTGTGAAGAGCTGTCTCCTGCAGGGTTTATGGCCTATACCATAAGCCTTCACTGTACTAAAGACTTCTTTAAAATATCTTACAACAAGGGGTGCCTCTTTGAAACATTTTTATTCTTTGAATGTTAATTTGATTAACATTAATTTTATTTGAACATGTAGTTTGTCAATACCTTGTAATGCCACTGCTTCTGAAAGTAATAAAGAAACTTGAGTACATTTGCAAGTTTACAGAATACTTATTCATTGATTCCTCAGTAAGTCAACTTAATGTCTGTTTTCCCATTATTTTGTCACTGGGATAAAGAATACGGGTGTTTGAGAGTTTACTCACGTGCAAAGATTTCAGTTTTAAATGTTATTTTGCCTAAAATTAGCATTGTGATGCTTTCTAAAAAGATATTTTATAGACCCTATTTCAGTATAAAATTTCCAACTCTGCATAGAAACAGTTACAAATGAATAAGGTTTGGCAATTGTTTTGTAAAGAATTTGTGAATTGTGTATAAGTCTGTCTAACATTTAATAAAAATTTTTAATAAAAGTTTATTTTAACCTATATTGAAATGTTCATATTTATTGTAGATTGAAACAAAAATAACCAAAATTCTTTAACAGGTATCCAAATTAAAGTTAAAATGCCATCAAATAGATATTTTATGGACATCTTCACTGATTTTACTAGATGCTGTTATTTAACAATGGACAAAATAGCAGCTATGGAATTCATTGTCTCTTAAACATTTCTTGCGCAAATTGCTTACTTGTCTCATGTTAACATATCTGTGTCAAGGATCCCCAAGACTACTTTCAGGTTTAGTGTTTCACTAGAAGGGCTCCTTATACTTAAGCTTATAGTTTATTACAGTGAAAGGATACAGATTAAAATCAGAAAAGGGAAAAGCTGTATACCACAGAGTCTAGGAGAAACCAGGTACAAGCTTTCAGTTGTTTTTCCCCATATCTTTAATTCTTTCAGCATTGATATGTGACACGTGTAAACTGTTGCCAAACAGGGAAGCTCACCTGACCCTGAGTATCCAGGGTTTTTAATGGGAATCAGTTATGCAGTGTCTATATGATTGACTCAGCCATTGAGAGTCTAGCACCCACCCAGTAGTCAAATTGATACAGCATGTCACAGGGCCCCAGGTATACAAAAATAGGCATTCACCATAAGTCTCATTGTTAGGATAAACTATCTGGTGTGGCCCAAGGTCTCAGGCATACAAAGACAGGATATTCCAAGGGCTCTGTAACCAGGGGAGAATACTTTTTTAAAGTAGAATATTAAATGTAATTACTTGATAAATGCTTCTGCAGTGAACAAAAATAATATATCCCTTATTAGATATTGTGTGGATAAGATTAAATTGAAGGAGTGGTCTACTTCAAGGAACTCACAGCCTATGAGTTACAGGTCTCAGAATCTTTTTTTTTTTTTTAAGATTTTATTTATTTATTTTGACAGAAAGAGAGCACCAGCAGGGAGAGCAGCAGAGGGAGAGAGAGAAGCAGACTCCCCTGCTGAGCAGGGAGCTTGATGTGGGGCTTGATGCAGGGCTCAGTCCCAGGATCCTGGGACCATGACCTGAGCTGAAGGGAGATGCTCAACTGACTGAGCCATCCAGGAGCCCCAGTTCTCAGAATCTTAATAAAAAGCAAATACTGGTAAATACTGTAAGAGTCACAAAAAGCTCTACCCTTTCTTTTTTTGCTCCCTCTGGACCTCCAAGAATACCAAAGAACTAAGTTATATAACGTTATATCTATTTGACCTATTGCTACTACCAGGCAATAAACTAAATGAACGCTGATTGATTAGCTTTCAAATTTGTACCCCTAAAATCAGTGTGATCTTGGGCTTCACCAACAGAAATACAGTTTCAGAGCAAGGGAATTAATACTTATAATATCCAGAGACACCTGGGTGCTCAGCAGTTTAGCACCTGGCTTCAGCCCAGGGTGTGATCCTGGAGTCCTGGGATCGGGTCCCACACTGGGCTCCCTGCGTGGAGCCTGCTTCTCCCTCTGCCTGGGTCTTTGCCTCTCTCTCTTTGTCTCTCATGAATAAATAAAATCTTTAAAAATATATACTTCTAACATCCAATTCATACTGTGTCTGGTTCTGGGTAGCATACCCAACTACTGAGAGATGGAAGAGTAATGGGATAGGGAATAGAGAGAAAGAGACCAGGGCAAAAACAAGAGACAAGGGTTAAGCAATTGCTTATGGTTAACTTGGAAAAGCAAAAAAGTATGGGTAAGACAATACAAGACAGCTGTCTTCAAATAACCAGAAAGTCAGACTTAGATGTGGGAAAAGCACAAGCAAGAGCAAACAAATGCCAACTTGTTGCCTCGGGTTAGATTGGCTGCCATCACCAGCGCAGGCATTTAGTTTAGATGAAAAAAGGTCAAAGTTTTTCTTCAAATGGAATTTTTACTAGAAACAAAAATACCCAAATATGCATGAATAAGATATATGAAGTATAGATTCCAGAGCCCAACATTAGTAAGCTAAAAATAGATTTATTTGGCATAGCTGCAGGTCCCTTTGTTTTTGCCTAAACCCTCTCTGAGGTGATATTAAGTAAAGATGCTCAGAGGGATAGTTTGTTGGTTAAGTTGTATTTTGGCAGAAGGTATGCTTGGCAGGTTTCTCAATTCCTCCCTTATTGCCATCTCAAACTTTTCTTTCTAGTATAGGCCAAAGTCGTTTCCTTTGACCTTAGGCTTCACTGAGCTTCCCCTCCGCTTCTACTGCATTGCTCTTCCCTCCTGATTCAGATACACTCTCATCTCATCTCTGACAATTCTTTCTCTGGACTCCAAACTAACACAGATCTTGCACACACACACACACACAATGACTCTCCTACAGTGACTTTGAATTCTTGAAAATAATACCTCTGACCCATTTATTTGCCCTATTTATCTTGCTCAAAGTGTATCCTCTGTGATTCAATCCTAGATGAATATTCTTGTAGAATCACCTTGTAATTGACTTATCAAATGTATGTGTGACTAATTTTAATTTTTTTAATTTTTTTCTTTAAAGTTCTAATAGTTGCAACCTTTGTGGTATATTTTGTCATCTTGGAAACCCTTGGTAATAGAGAAGATTCAAGCAGATGCTGATTCTGAATATGTAATCTTTGTTTTCTTTAGTGGACCATGACCAAAAAGAGTAGGTCCTCATTTTTATCCTTTTTTCAGTATCTTCTGCACATGAGTTTGATTATTGGCCTCTCTTCGAAACTGAACTGATGAAATCTCAATTTTATCACCTTTCGAGATTAATAATCATTTCTCAAATGAAATGTCATAGTGGTCTCCTGAAAGCTTACCATTTACTTACGTGGAATGGATATTATGGTTTAATCTTTACTACATTTTTATTTTGTTCTGATGGTGTCTGTGATTTTACAAAGGTTCTTATTGTGATACTATTTTCATTTAGAGAACAGATTTTTTTTCCTTCAGATGTTTATAGGAAAATGTTTTCCCAAGAGAAAAGCTGATTAACATTTTAAATTAGAGTTTTAAGAAGACAAAGGTTGCCAGGACAGATTTTTTTTTCCGCTCTAAAAAAAGACATAGAGGCAGTATTGCATAGTGGTTAAGGACATGATTTTTTTTTTTTTTTTTTTAAACAGGAACAGTGCTGCTTAATTTGAAATGTTTTCTTACTTCATTCTGTGCTCCTGTAAGGGGCCCAGTCTCATCTGGCTGGCTTGGCCTCATGTTCCTACTGTCTCCTGATCCACTGCCTGTCTGGTGCAATTCACAGCTCCAGGTGCTGTCTGCCACTCTGCTTTCACAGTGACCAGTTCAATTCATCTTTCTTGATGCTCCTGCTTCTGAAGCCTGAAGTTTCCTTTTCCTTGGCTTCTTTTAAGTTTTTCTTTTTCTTTTTCTTTTTTTTTCCTTATTCTTTTAGAAGATCCAGAGAAGAATCTTTCTGATAAGGTTCCTCAGATTTTTTGGTCCTCCTCCATGTCTAGAGCCACATATTATTTTCACAGCGTCTAGCCCAGTACTTGGCCTTAGCAGGGGCACCTGGGTGGCTCACTTGGTTAAGCGTCTGCCTTCAGGTCAGGTCATGATCCCAGGGTCCTAACATCCAGCCTCGTGTCAGGGTCCCTGCTCAGTGGGGAGTCTGCTTCCCCCTCTCCCTCAGCCCCTTCCTAAGGACATGAATTTTGAAGCCAGACTGCATGACTTTGATTCCCAGATTTGCTACTTGCAAGCTACATGATCTCAGACATGTTGTATAATTTCTCTGAGCTATAGTTTTTCTTATCTGTAAACAGGGACAAAGGAACCTAACTCAAAGAGTTGTTATGAGAATTAATAAATATATAAAGCATTCAGGGCCATAGCTGGCATACAATCAATTACCAAGTTCAAATGTGATCCCTATGTAATCACTTCTTAGGTTACTTTGCTCCATTAGTTCCTTTCTAATGAGTAAGGAGGTCTATTAGTATTAAAAGATTGATGTTGAACCATTTATTATTTTTCCTGTCTTCTTTCTTACATGTTTTCTCTCTTCACCTCCTTCTATGGATAACCCCTCCTGGAGACAGGTAGGGACACAGGCTCTGAAGTCAGGCCTGGGTTCTGTGTTCACCCTAACTCTAGTCTTGGCTATGCTGTTTAAACTTTGCAGATTAGGTTAGTTCATAGTTTCAGTTGCCAGGAGTTCATTTTGTTGAGTTCAAGGCTGGCTTGAGGTAAGGATCAAAATTGTCTAGCCCTGAAGGACATCAGGAATTGTGTATGTCATGTATGAATCCTTATGCCAGGAAATCATGGGAAATGGAAAGTTATACTTCTCATTTATTCATACTTACAGCATAACAGATGAACCTAAGTGAGTTTAATTTGTTTTGTTTTAATTTTTTTAAGATTATTTATTTATTTATTCATAGAGACATACACACAGAGAGAGAGAGAGAGAGAGAGAGGCAGAGACAGAAGCAGGCTCCACGCAACAAGCCTGATGTGGGACTCGATCCCGGGTCTCCAGGATCACACCCCGGGCTGCAGGCGGCGCTAAACCGCTGCGCCACCAGGGCTGCCCTGTTTTAATTTTAATTTTAAGTAGGCTCCATGCCATATGGGGAGCTTGAACTCATGATCCAGAGATTAGGAGTCATATGCTCTACTGACTGAGCCAGCCAGCCAGGAGCCCCTTAAATTTGTTTTAAATAAGCCGCCTAGGTGGCTCAGTCCATTGAGCACCTGCCTTTGGCTCAGGTCATGATCCCAAGGTCCTGGGATCCATCCCTGCATCAGGCCCACTGCTCAGTGGGGTGCCTGCTTTTCCCTTTCCCACTGTTACTCCCCCTGCATGTGCTTCCTCCCTCTCTCTTAGTCAAATAAATAAAATCCATAAATAAATAAATAGATAATAAATAAATAAAAATAATAAATAAAAATAAAAGCACCTCTAGAGACACCTGGCTAACTGTCAGTAGAGTGTGCAACTCCTGATCTTGGGGTCTTGAGTTTGAGCCCCACGTTGGGCATAGGGATTAC